TTTTCTTTATGGTGGTCATTTTTGACCGGTAACTCCATGGGTGGCACAAAGTTGACTAAATCATCCAAAATTCAATGAAAGTGGTGATCAGGAATTGTACATGTTCAAATGTCTACTGTGAAGGATATCATAAAGCCTTAATGCAATCAAAAAGTTATGATTGATGAAAGTAGTAAATCGGTCAGATTTGACCCGAAGACAACAGGAGGGTACAGCTACAAGTCAAAGTGTGCACTGTGAAAGTGGAGCACCGCAGGCAGTTTTGAGTGTCCACCAAATGCACAATAGCTCTCTGTGATGAACACGTTTTACCAGTTCTCTTGATACCTAACCTCTGCATTCTTCTTAGAGCTTCAGAAAGGTTGTCTGGCTCACAATACGTTTCACATGCACACAGTAGTCAGTAAAATATCAACCTGTAGATTCCAAGAGCAATGAAATGTAGATCATATAGGATATCAAAGCATGGTAACAGCTTTCATATATAACCCTGTTGTCTAGTTACATTACATTACTTGTTAGACGCTTTTATCCAAAGCGACTTACATACTCAATACTGTGGGCAATCCCCACAGGAGCAATTTGAGGTGAAGTGTCTTGCCCAGGGACACAACGAAATGCTGACTGCAGTGGGGTTTGAACCTGTGCTCCCCTGATCCGAACACAAACGCACAACGCACTGCACCACACGCCTCCCTAAAAGTTTATGGCCAGCTACCTCTTAGCATTCACTCAATGTTGGTGGTGACTAAGTCCTGGATAGTTTAGTGAGGGCATTCAAAAATATATGTAAGGTTAAGTACTGCTTACTATATGTAGGAAAAAAACATCTTTACTAAGCCTTTACTGAAGCTCCATATCAGCTTATTACTACATTTGTATTTTCTTACAGCTCTTACCTCTGACTTGTCAGTCAGACTCTCCAGACGGGGCAGCTCAGGCAGCTGTGAGAAGCGTCGGTCGTAGATGCAGAGGTGCAGGTGCTTATCCAGGACACGGAAGTCTTCATAGCTGCGCTTCACAATCCAACTTCGACCCTTCAAAAGGACAACACAAAAGGGTAAACAGTTAGAATAAAAAAACAGACAGAATACAATCAGCTTAAAGAGCTACAAGTGAGACATGTTTCTATTCAACTGCAGCTAGGTTAAGTTAAAGGTGGAGTATGTCAATTTGGAGAAACCAGCTCGAATAATCTAGTAAACTAGAATTTGAAAATACACAACCGGAAAAAAACTGCCTCTTCCTTCAGACTTCCTTACAGAGCCCCTCCTCCAACACACACAGAAACGCGCACATGACCAATGAGGGCACGAGATAAGTTTGTGCACAGATGGAAGGCTGACAGGCAGGTAGGCCATCCAGTTACTTTAGCCGGGCCGGCTCAGATGATTGGTTGTGCTTTTTACAGTACTACGGCTTCCGCAGATGAATTTTTTTAATGGATTTATTGTCAAAGCATTTAATGAATTCATTGCTATCGGGATGTTAAGAGCATTCCATGGAGTATAACAAAAAGTGTATCTGAAATAAATTACATACCCCACCTTAAAGTAATTTTTTAATGGAAAGATTTCACCAAACCTAAAAGATATAACAGGAAAACTAAACAAATTGTATTGTGAAATCCATAGAAACATAACAAAAGAAAACCTTAAATAGTATTAGAAGTAATACACAATCACTGTATAACAACACACTTAACATGGGCGACAGCACACACAACATTATATAACACACAAGGTCCCACCCATGTTGTTGTGACAAACAGCACCCTACTCTAAAGCTCCACTCAGGGCATTGAATGTCTTTCAACTTATTGTTTTTGGTGTTAAGGCCGACAGTTCTCACTCACTTCCACTGCTCTCAGACAGATTAGAGTTAGGTCAATAAATGATGATGTAATCGTCCATCACTCATGGCAGACGCTCATCGACCACAGAGACTTTGTAAACCCACTGTTCAGTCACAGTGTTAGCAGCTTGTTACACACATTTACGCAGGTTTATTGACATGAATGCAGACTCATTTAGCTGCTGATCTAGATTTTAGGGACCAAGTTAGGAATCCATTTTGCAGGTCCATTCATACAAATCAATCAAATCTATCAAATGATGTAATTGCTATCTCTTCATTTCTCTTTTCTCGGATATAACGTAATAACTCAATTATGTAGGTGCCAAACAAATACAGCAAATATGATCATCATTATTAAAGATGCTTGTAACGTGCTACCTGCTAATATATATCATTATCTGGTTTAGACCCTTAAACTAAAGTAGGCTTCTCCAGGTGTCCGGTGTGGTCCAATACTCAAGGTCAACACTGACACAACACACCTGTTGCTAGTAGCTGCACTTTGTGGATAACATTGCAAAAAGAGCCACCAGCCTCATTAGCATATGGAGCAGCCCATAAATCCTTCATCAGCCGAAACTAGTGAGACTGTTTTTCTATCGTTTCTCTTGGATTCTGTTTTTGTCAGACAGACACTCTTCTCGTGCCTCTAACCCAATGGCACTGTCTCAAAATCGACAATCAAGTCACCCATGGACTTTAATATTTCAAATGTCTTTCCAAACAAAACAGACAGCAATTAAATATGACCAGTGTAAATGCAATCCTAGAAAATGCTGCCCTGAATCCACCACATTAAATGTAACTTTTCTTTAAAAAAAAAACGATGTTTGCAATGGATATGTTGTTTCTTTTTCATCCAGTAAGGCCGGGCTCCAAACCTTCAAACCCACTGAAGGGGACTGGTGGTGGAAAAAGTATGTTGCTTTGATTTGCCCCAGAAAGATCTGTCTTAACCGAGACCAAGGCTTGACAACTGGGACTGCAGAGCACAGCTGATTCTAGTTCTGTTTTTAAAGTTCTGTCTGGTAGAGATGCATTGGAAGGAACTCTTGATGGTGTCCTGCCCCACTTTCAGATGCTGCTTCTAGTTACCCCCATTTCTGGGTATTTGGAACTGAACCAATCTCACTGGGTTAGTTCTCTGTTTCAGGAAGCACATTTGCAACCTGTTCAAATAGAACTAGGTGTAGATTTAAAAATGGTATGACGGCTGAAAGAAGTTGCCAAAGTTCAAAAGCACATACTGTGTTGCATTGCCAAGTTTATGAGCAGAAGGAAAATACAGGAAACCAGAATCAAAAATGTCTTTGGAGGCAGCTGGGGCAAAGCTTCAGAGCAGCTGTGCATGTTTGCCCTAATATAAGGCTATACCCAATTCTGGGTTAATCCCATTTTTGGAAAAACTACATAAAGTATTTGGTTTTTACTTTATTCCCACATCCCTCCTAAACAACGAATTCAAAGTCAACTCTTTTTTCTATTTGAAAAAACTTCAACAGCCAACACAACGCAACAACAATTGATTATAATAAGATATCACCATGGACACAACAGTGCCAAATGAACGGCACACTTCATAAGAACTTGCACAATATCTGTTTCACATTAATAATTGAGTTTCCAATGACATAGAAACACATTAACAGAAAACAATGCATAAACAGGCAATGTCATTCAAATAATCCTGCTGAAGATGCATGCGTACAGTGCTTTGTAAAGTTCATGGTTTGAAGCTCTCATTATCAGACATTCTTCAGAATAATTCAGCCATCCTGGCATTCACCCGCAGCTCTTTCAATTCAGTTCCAAATTCCCACATAACTGGGATGTTTGAAACACTTAGGTGTTTCAGAAATGTCTCAATGTATGCCAGCGGCCTTCTCAAGGGAGAGACTGCTCTGGATATCTGAACAAGTTGACTGAAGCATCATTTGTGGGTTGGAATTCCGTTCCCAAAAGTTTGAAAAGAAAAGTTGAAAGAAAAACCGCAATATCAAACCCAGTGGACTCTTACCTGGCAGAAGATATGGACCAGGTACACCAGCTCCTTCGACTCATAGCCGTTCCGCGTCACTTCACACTGTTCATCCCCGAGGGACAACTGGAGGACACAGAGAAGAGAGCATTTGTCATTTCAAAGCAAGAGGTAGAATCAGATGGTCATGAACAAAAACACTTTATATTCTTTTCTATTCATGTTTGCTAGACAATTTTTGATGTCTCTTGAAATAATTCCACATTCTTTCATAATTATCCGTTCCACCATTCTTTTCATGGCTATTTTTGAATAAAGCATCTGAAATGGCGTTAACTTGATGTTAACAAGAGGTGCAGCAAGAGGAGATAGCATTATTCCGCTCAGGAAAAGTGATTTTAGTCAATCTATATTTCTGTTAGCTGCTCAAAAACGGCATGAAGCCTCTTCTTTTCAGTAACTCTTTATCATAAGGGCTTTTTCAACAACACAAACTTAATGATCCATAACTTAATGCGCATCCATTGTCAGAAGTAAGTATTTTTTCTAGCCTCTTTGGGGGCCAGTTCAAAAACCTCCTTCTGAACCATGTTTCAATATACAGAAGATCCTGTGATTCAGTTTCCACTGTCAGCTTCACTCACATACTGACTTTCACTGATATGTGAAGTGAGTATATCAATGAGGCAACACAAAATATTCTGGTTTGAAAAACACAAGGCAGATCCTAGAAGTATCCCCTACAGGTTCTGTTAAGTGCAGGTTATAGAAAATCTCCAGGTGGTCGATCAGTATATGAAATGCATTTCTTGTGTCCATATGTATAACAATACGCATGCATCAGCCTTGGCTAAGGAGGTAGAGTGATCGTCAACCAATCAGAAGCTCGATGGAAGGCTCCTTAGCCCTTGAGTCAACATGTCAACGCTTCTTTGTGCAAAATAAGATTTAAGCTTCATATCATGTGGTGCTCTTTTTCTCCCCAGAGCCCCCCCTCAGTTTAATGAGTAGAACTTCTCAGGCAGAGTTGTATCTACTTAGCTTACAACACCAGATGAAGACATAAGGAAGATACAGTATGATGTAGCATAGCACCTGCTAGGCATGTTGCAAACGCGTCACTTTGTTTCAGTGCTCCTTAAGTTTGTGTATGTTTTGCACATCTTAGCAACTGTTTTGTTCCAATTTCCCAACTGCTCACAACTGCTTGTTCAATTGTATTCTAAAGAAAACTGTTCTGCTGTCAGAAAAGCAAAAGGTATTTGTGTGCTCCTAAAGTCCACTAAACAGATATTGTCTGAGCAATTTCATGGTTCCAGAGTGAGGAGGAAAGTCCATGGAAGCCCTTTTGTTCCCATAAAAGATGACTTGATTTAAAGACTGCCTTCCCTGAACACCACTGCCCTTTACTGTGTGGCTGTGTTTCTTTTCAGAGACAAACTAGTATAAAAACATGATTTAATGTGCATATAAAAGAATGTGCTGTTCAGTGGGACCGATGTGCCAGAACACTCTGTGTAGGATGCAAAATGTAGCTAAGTATATTTATTCAGTGCCTCTTTATTGGGCATCAACCTTGCATTTACACAACTTCAATCGTAAATATAAATGCTTCAGGTTGTTGTCCTCCTCATGAGGCTTCAGCCCACCTGCAGGAAGCCGCCGCAGACAGCTGCATGGATCGAAATGAGAGATTATGTGTTGCGCGACAGGAGCGTCGGAAAAATATATCCGATGCAGTCTAGACAGGGGGTGGGTTATTGCAGACACATCTGGCCGCGATGGGAACCTTTCTAATTTGAAAATGTTATGATGCTGACACCCGATATAACATCTGGCCGTTAGAATTATCTTTGTTAACATGAGGTCATGCTGACATCATAATTTTGCTCAAAGCCCTACTGTGCCTGACAGGGCAGCCTCTACGTCCCATCACTTTCACTGCGAAAAGACTAATGACAAAAGTAACAACATGTACAGCAGGGAGACACTTCTACACATTTCATCTAGTCATCAGTCTCACGTCCTTCACTTTTGTCAGTCCAGGCATAACTATGCACACCCTAAAAGTTAATTGAGAATAGGTTGTCTATCACAAAATATAATACCTAATATGTCATAATAAATTGGGTGTACTGGGTTCAATTTAAAGCTCTACATTTTAGTAACAAAGAAAAAGGCAATACAACTACCCCAAGGAGGATGACAACTAGACAAGTCACTAGCATTTGAAATGATAACTTTTTTCCTGGCCTCAAGTTGTTTATGGTCATATTAGAGAAGAATACACATCCATGGGTGGTCTGTTCTTCCTGTGCACAGCAGAGGAGCAGGCGCATAACATTCCATAAAGCAACAGAAATCTTGGTTCCAAGATGGTCATTTTTAGAGAGCCAGAGGAGTTGCAATGTACAAGCTTTCTGCAGACGAAAATCCAACATCCATCTTTTGCACACAAGCAATGTTGATGAGTCCTGCAGGCACACAAGGACAGGGGGGAAGTATTGTTCCGATAAGTGCAGCAGCAGAACCAAACGGCAGCCAAAGACACAGAAAGACACGTTGTACTCACAGCACTTTAAGTCTGGGTTTCACTCCTTGTTTTAGTTCCTACACTTTCCTTCTTTAGAGCTTTACGCCTCTCTTTGACACTCCAGCACCTGACCCCAGTCTCTATTTGTACCAGTGTGCATAAGAATGTACATCCCTTCTTGCATAGTCCTGTTTCACCAGCCTGGGACAAAGTTCCCCTCAGCAGGACACAAATGCCCCCTCTGCACTTTCTTTCACATGCAGAGTAAGCTCTCTCAGTGTGGGCTGCAGAGACAGAGGGTGGGAGGTAACACTATTAGTAGCAGCATGGTGTTGGATGAGGAGGCGGTTATTAGGAATCCTCAACGGGACACTTTCATCTCCTCCATTTTGCCCCATCCCACTATTGTGATTCCCCATCCTGATTTCCTCACCTTCTTTCTCTTGTTGTCTTTCTTTCTTTGATGGCCAGCAGAACTGTAACACCCAATGATATAAGCAGCAGCAGGCTACAACAGAAGAAACGGCAAAATCCAGAAAAAAGAAATACAAAATCAGTTCTGTCCTTCTGCGATCTCACGGTCTGCTTTCTGTGACCCTCCGCCGCATGCTATTCTCTCCTTTCCCCTCCTCTCCTCTGCCTGACATGCTGCTCACCCCTCCCCCTTTTTCTCCTCCTCTCCCCCCTCTCTGGTTGGTAGGTTCCCAGGACAAAGAGCAGGGATGGAGGGAGCAAAGGAAAGCAGAGGAGAGGGCAGGAGGTAACAGAAAAAAAGGGGAGGCGGTAGCACTTGGGGGAGAGCAGTTTTCTCTTCTTCAACATGTGAAGTCCTGCTTTACTTTTGCATGGTGGCAATTTACAGAGTGCTCAAGTGAGGACATCTGCAGTCGTTGCAAGTGAAAATGAGTGTCAGGCATTACAGCTTGAAGCACATTCAGTTAAATATATCAATAACTGATGCTTTGCTATTCGATCCCAGGCGACTAAACGAAAACTTCACAACACAAATAACCAGGGAGTGTGCTAGCTCGCAGTCTACCACAATTGCAAAGCAGAAATAAAGTCACCAAAAATATAACTGAAGCCTACCCTATGCTTAATGACCAGCTCTTGGGTTGCAAGTTGTGCAACCAAATAGTTCCAACTCAAAGAGGGAAGGACATTTTAGGTTGTATCAGCCAAGATGACTTCATTTATGACATTCACATGAGATGATTCAAAAGAGAGAACAGAAACCCAAGCAAATGAGCCAGCCCCACTGAGGAGGACATGTTGGAGCCAAGAGGCAAACATACACGCGGTACAAAGCGGCAACCCTCCCTGTGCTGCTGGGGAAAGAAAAAGACCTTAGGAGTAAACTAATGTACTTACTTTAATTGCGGCTACCTTCATTCCTGAAAAGACTAGTATGATCAAACGTAATAATTTGTCTCAGTCCACACCTGCTACCCAACATTTACATCAGTAGACTGCCAATTGATAAAAGTCCCGACTGAGATAAAATAGTACCAATGTTCCTGAAAAAAGAGAAAATCAGCGAGCCGTAAATCTGCGGGAGCGGAGCATCAAATCACTCTCTACTACGAGTCTGCTTGATGCATTTCAAATCATAATCCAATGATGACCCAGTTCATTCAGTGCACTGATTTATCACAGATCACATGAGGGGAGGTCCAGCACTTTCCAGGAAAAGTCAACACAACTGAAGTCTAAGCCTTGAATGCAAGATGCAACACTCCTAATCAAATAATATAATTGTTTTGTACTTAAATACAAAAATGTACCTGGAAAGATAATTAGCTGTTGTTTTTTGTAACAGCACTGAGGAGTGCAATGGTAATTCTGGAATTGATTGAATTACAAACGGCAGCTATTAGAAGCCAAAGATAAGTTATTTGATGAGCAGTCAACAAAATAAATAACTTTTACATTAGATACACTGCTAACATGTTGATGAGAGCATGTACTGTACACTATTATGTATTCTCATTTATCATGTTCACTGTCATGGTCAGTTTGGTATATTTTGTGTTCATTTAGCAAAGTAGCATCTCCTTAAGCAGCACACAAAGTACACTTGATGCTGAATGTCATTACTTTGCAGGTATTTGGGCACAAGCCAAAGTTTTGGACAAATTCAAGTTGATCTGATGATGAAAAGTCTGGGAATCACCAAAGGGATTATACATTATTTTGAAGGGAACATGAGTTTCTGAGCCAAATATGATGGCAATCTGTCCAATAGCTGTTGAAACACATCATCTCAAAACGGATAATAGATCAGTGGTATTTCTGTAGGACTGTAGAATAGGAGTTATGAGTGCAGGGCTGCCTGTGTGCAGTACTTTCAATCTAAAAAGGAGGACATGTGTAAAGCTACACCCAACTCTAAAATCTTATAATGTAATATTCTTATAAAAGCTATACAAATACATCTAGGGATTGAATAACGGCCCGTCCACACGGCGGTGTGCGTTGAAGCTTCAACGCTTCTGCCCATTCACTTTGAATGGGGTGACGTCACGCTTTGCCGAACTGCATTGTGGGAGTGTCGCTTCGCTTTGCGTTGCTCACTTCAAAAGTTGAGCAATGT